ATGTAAATAATCTTAATCTACACTGCAGATATTAAGTTCTATATTTTTCGTAATTATTTTTCCTAAGCCATTCCAGTATCGAAATTCATGAACACATTTATTGTTTTATATATCAATAATTGATTTTCCATTTTGAGCAATATATATTTCCCATATATAGTATATCATTTAAATATGTCTATATGACATGCAATCTCTAATAAATGATTTATGAATGGCTAAATTATAAATTATAAAATGCTTCATAATTTTATGGCATAGATTTTCAATAGCATATAATGTATAGATAATGAGTTCAACTTGAAAGGCAAATAACTTTAGGCAAAAAGTGGGAGTTTTTTTCCTAAAATATTGATTTTACAATGAAGTCACAAATAAGCACTTTCATAGACAAAATAGGGCTCAGGGCAACTTTCCTAAGTTTAGTAATAATATAATATGGTGGTTTTTAATAAGGAATTCTTATTTATAATACATCATAACAACAGTATGAAAATTATATTTATGAAGATCAACCAAACTTGAACAAGGAGGCGAGGCAAAAATATTCTCAAATAATTCATTACAGGTAAATCAAGATAGATCCTCAAGATATGGTTGTTTCTGAAATGAGAGTGATTTCTGTAACAGCTTAGAGAAGTACTTACTGAATAAGCACAATCTTCATAATGAAATGTTTATGGACTTTAGGACAGATGTGGTATGGCTATCAAGTAATGAAATTAGGTTTATTCTAGGTCATTTGAAAACACATCTGTTTTAAAGTGAAAAATCGTAGAAATGTGCAATTAATTATGCATCTGTGTTTCAGGCCTGTATAATAGAAGTCTATTTTGTTTTAAAATAAGTAGAACACGTTCACAAATTCTGGTTCTTTATGTGCATATGTGTGTTTGTGTGTATTCAGCTGTAAGGCCACTTCGACTAAATGCTTTTACGAATGTTTTGTTACATTCGCATGCATTATGTAGTCTCCACAATGCTGGGTGCTGTGTTGCGGATAGATAGGCATGCATAATAGTGGCGAGCTCCACCTCTGCAAACTAAGCTGATTCAACTCAATTAGAATATGTATTTATTGGATATCTACTATGTTATTGGCACCAGGTTGCATGTTATAAAAATATATATAAAAGAAGCATATATATGACCATCTCCAACAAGAAGCCTGAAATACCACTGGGGATATAAAATACTCAGATATAAAGCAATCAAAACAATAAATTATTAAGAAACTAAACTGAAGCTCATAAAGTACTAAATAAGATTGAAGAAGGGAAAAGCCATTAGTAAATTTAACATGTCTTTTTGATGATTTAACAGATGTTTGATTCTTCTAGAATAGATTGCTTTATGATAATCAATCCAAATGATTGTGTCCCTTATATTAATCACCTTGCCCTGGAAACGTTTATTCAATAGATGATATCCCTGACTAAGTCTGAGAACCAACCCCTTTCCTCATGGCAAAGAACATTCATTTCAAATCTCACAAAGTAGTGAGATTCATTTTCAATTCCATTGTCAGAGTACTGTGACAGTGTTCTACTTCGCTCTTGACTGTAAGAGCAAACTTGCCCTCCACATTTATTTTATTCTGACTCCTACCGATACCTGTTGGCGGAGTGGCATGCCCACTAGTCAGCTGCTTCCATTCTTCCTGACCACCTCCTGTGCCCTCTGACATATGAGTGATTTTCAGAAATGAAGGAAGATAGGGAAGACACTGAAAATATGTAACCTATCCCTCTAGACATCAGTTTACAAACTAAATAAAAACTCGACAGATGATTCCTGTCATTTGAATGAAACTCTTTTATTGTCGTCTAAAAGAATCATGTCTACAGTGGACTTTATCATGTGCTTTAACGGGATATCTTTATACTTTTTTCAGAGCCAGATAACAGTGAATGGAAATTCTGGAGGTGTGAGTCCAATGAGTTACTATCAAAGGCCATTTTCTCCTTCAGCCTACTCCCTACCAGGCTCACTCAATTCAAGCATTATCATGCAGCATGGCCGGTCACTTGGTAAGTCATTCGATAGTCATGATTTTCATGACAATTTCAAATTTAAAGCATCAAAGTAATTTTTCAAAAATATTCAACACTATTTAATGATCCTCTCCTAGGGGAGAAATTAGGGACTGCATGGATTCAGCACTGGGGAAAACAGGCATCCAGTTATTCCAAGACAATGACTGCTTGTATATCTTATTCTGGAGAAGGCTATTAGATATTTGGGGTATTTGGGGTGGTGGTGTAGAAAGAAAGAGATGGGCAGTTAGGGAGAGGAGAATTCATACTACCGGAGAACATTCACATAGGGCATTTCCACAGATGGCAAATACCATCCATGTCCTAGGCAGCCCTTGTTTTGCGGAAGAGCTTTCACCTATAGAAAATTCTTTTGGTATATATAAAGAAGAATTACGTAACAGTTAAAACTATCACTAAACCACTGCCTCACGAAGTAGTAAACTATTCAAACTGAGGCCAGAAGATCCTCAGTTAGGAATGTGAATTTCTTTAGATGATGACTCCAGAACTTCATGGAGACATAGTTCTTAATCCTTTGGGAATTAAGAATTAGATGAAAGATATAGCTTTCCTCCAGAAACAAAATAAACATTTGAACATTTATAAAAAACTTTAAGCATTTTATGTCATGGGGCTCATGAACTCTTTGAAACTTCCTGGAAAAGAAACTGTGCTATAATGATAGAAACATTTTTATGTGGTAAAATATACCAGGATGGTTTAGGAAATAATGAAATAAATATTTCTTAGTTTTTAAAAATGTAACAAAATAACCTAAAATATTAAGAAACAGACTAAATCAAACCATCATCTGAATTCAAACTGATAAAAGGTTTCATGATGTTGAACAACTAGAAGGCTTCCAGAGCAGCGGGGAGCAGAGAGGAAGGTGGAGGACCACGTGACCACAGCACACCTCTCACAAAAGTAGGAGAGGACTGATCCTCTGGCCACCACCAACCAACAACAGGGAGAAAGAAACTAGGACATGGAGTTTTAACTCCCATTTCCTCTTTGACAGCAAGCAGCACCTCCTCTTCCCCAACGGGGTATATATTGAAAGAACATGTTGCTGTTAGTTTACCGAGGGACATTCAGCATGTACATTGTGGAACTAACTCAACTTCAGTGTCAACAAAAACTTCATAACTATAAAACTTACATGTAGCCATGAGACTCATTAAAGAAAAGTCTAAATATACTTGCTCTTCTCTAATGCTGCTCCTGAGATAATCTGTGAATCTTATAATGATGTCCTTTTAGAGTATAAGAAGGTAGAATGTCCTTGTGCCGAAATGTTGCCCTTGAAAAATCAGTTCATGGTGTAGTATCATAATGGGGGCCCATTATATCTAGATTTTTTTTTTCACTAAGCTATGCATTGTCACACATCTATGGTAAAACTGTACAAATTATTCTAGCTGAAATATTTTCTCAAATAATTATTACCAAGGTCTGACTCTTTGCCCTTATTGCTTGTCTTAATGAACACAATTTTGTGCCTCTCACCCCAACAAACAAAATACATAAATATTCAAATATAGATAGGCTTTTATATTAGAACATATCAATGGGTAGATTTTACATATAAACTATACTACGTGGAACAAAATTCCCTGCATAGACGTTGAACAAATTCCAATTGGCCAGTGCTGAGATAGTTCCTGAGGAGAATATACAAATCTATCCTGCCCTAGAGGAACTTTATAAGTAGTTTAAGACAAAAGACTAACAAAATGAGAGTTAGTGGACCATATAAGAGCATAATAAAATAAAAGACTAACTTTTTTATTATATAAGCTATAAGTTCATAGACTCTTATGAACTATATATGAAGGCAGAATTAATACTGTTTGCTTAGACTGGGACTTTGCATATACTCGGTGCTCAAAAAAATTGTTTGATAGAAATGTTAGCATCATGGTTGTCCTTTTTTGGAATTAAATGGAAAATCAGAGTCAAATATCACATTATGTTTTAAATTAGAGTTGCTTGGGAAAGATATAAATTACTTTTACATACAATGGCTCATAAAGCAATTTTATTCTTCGCCTTATTCATTCTTCAACAGAATAGGATCAAAAATGTTTTTCTGTTGCAAACTAAACTGAAAATAGCCATAACAATAGTAATAGCTGTTATAAATGTTATCATGGATTTTAGCTTACAGGAGTCTTATCTCTAATTGTCTTTGCAATGATGAATTAATTTTTAAATCTTATTTATGAAATTTTATATAAATTTGCCATGAAAACACAGTCACATTTTTTGAGATATAAATATATATCAATGCCACTCTGAAACATCAGGACTTTTCCATATCCACATAAAATGAGAACTTTCTGAATGACAGACCTGACAAATCATAGCAGAGAATTATTCTTAGTCACCAAAATTTTGAAATTTATTATTAAAAAAAACAGGAATCATATTATCAATTGTACCAGATAGATGGTAATACTGTTGATTTTCATAAATATCTGTGAACTAAGAGTGAGTGGAATATGTAGTACACCGAGTCCTTCCTGTTTCTTATGAAAGTACACTAAACGTTAATAAAGATGGTATAAGATAGGAACATGATAAAACTCATCTACTTTATATATTTAGGGCAATTTTTATACTCAAGGGACAAGAAGTCATTTTTCGTACTTCAAAGTAAAAGCAAAGATATTATGGCTACTCAAATAAAAATTAATACTAGTAATTTTAAATCTTTTATTTACCCATAAGTCTTCACATCCAAGTCTGTGTTTAGATGTGAAGATTTCTTAATGGGATTTTTGTTTTCACTTTATTTTTATGAAATCGCTGTCATTGATTCAACAGTCACATCTTTTATTCTAAGAACACTTTTGAATAACAATATCCAGCAGTTTCACAAAAATAATATTAATATAAACTATGAACTGGTGGAAATTACTAAACTTGTCTCAACTTCTGCCCCCTTATCAGTAAAATAGGTCCCCCCTATTCTCCTACCAAGATTACTAGAAAGATGAGATAATAATGCATATAAAGTGCTTTCTTACAGTGGCTGCCACATGGTCACGAAGTCTTTCAACAAACATCATTCTTCTCTCACCCTTCTTTATAATGGTGAAGGTCTTCTTGTTAGAGGTCAGTTCAGTATACACATCCATGTTAACAAGGAGTGGCTCAAATTTAAGGTAAATGAGTTAAAAGAAATGGTGATGGAAATTAAGACTGTCACAGCTGGCATAAATATGTAAGAGGCATCATTAATTTTGATTCTTTGTACATCAAATACATTATATTTCACCACGTTTTCACCACAGATTCTACGGAGACATATCCCCAGCATGCACAATCTCTGGACGGCACCGTGGGCAGCTCCATACCACTGTATAGATCCTCAGAGGAAGAGAAGAGAGTGACCATCATCAAAGCTCCACATTACCCAGGGATCGGGCCCGTAGACGAATCCGGAATCCCCACAGCAATTAGAACGGTAGGAGATGCCAGCGTGCGCGTCACTGCTCTGGGGCTGTGCACAGACACTACAAAGGATGGATTATTGGTGGCTTTGTGCATTCCTATGGTCTTATATAATGAAGATTGCCCTCTGTGCTATCTGAGTTCTCATGAATATTATGCTGTGTGTGGCAGAGAAAGAGAACTGTCGATTGGAAATAATCACACAATCTGTTTTTCCATTTTAACTAAAAATCATGAAAATTGTGATTTTGTTATATGATAAAAGTATGTTTTGTTTTACCTTTTACCAAGGAATGTTAGGACAATTTAGAGAAGAGAAGGAACAAGAAAATGTGAATTCTTTGTCTGCATTGAATTCCTGTGCGTTGCAAATAAACCAGTGATTTGTTTCTTGAAATGGATGTGTGTTAACACCAGGAGATGCAAAGCTGTGAATTGGGAATTGGGAGGTGAGATGATTGGAGAGAAGAGAGTTAATGTCATAGAAAGGAAAAACTGTCTAAAGAAAAATACCCATTTTTAGTGTCCCTCTTCAGCTGTGTCTGCTGAGAGCTCTTGGGGATGATAAGTGAAAGTGTTTGGATTTTTTTTTCTTTTTAGTCTTTAAACTCTGCCAAAGCATTTCTCAGTGTATCAGGGCAGCCCCTTCTGGCACAGCTCAGCCATAGCAGAGGCAGCTATTGAGAGCTTGGGCAGGCAGCTGCTTGCTGACCAGTCCACTTGAAGAGAAGGTTTGTGCTAGCCGCGAGGAGGACGACTTGGGAACCAGGATGAGAGCAGCAGCACCTTTGCAGGTGAAATTGGCGGGGGAGGGGGAGGGCAGTGCGAGAGTGGAGCTCAGTCTGCCTGCTCTTGTCTTCAACACCCACAAACCTGCCTGGGATGTTGCCAAGAGCTATTTCCCTGGAAGGCAAACCTGGGGGGCCAAAGACAATAGTGAATAGAGGGAAAAAATGGGAAAGAGATTAGAAAAAGAAAAAAAAAAACCAGTGGTACAATTGGAAACACTCAAACAGGACTAAAAACGAAGTACGGAGGTTTTCTTCTTTCTTTGAATTTGTATTTATTCTAAGGGGATTATGTGTTCTATATCATAAAAATTGATTTTTCCAAGCATCTGTATTAGAATTGGAAGCTAAAAGATAAGTCTGCATAGCAATTGTTATGAATTTTATACTCATTAGATTCTGAGAACTTTGAATGTGACTAATTATAAAGTCCTAAAAATCTATTTTGAAACTGATTATTGTCATATTTAAGTGATAGAAAAATTCAGGGATCATGACTAACATTCTCAATTTTATGAGACTGCATGTTTCTGGTTACAATGTTTTGTCATTTGTTTCTCTTTTAAGATTTCTGACTCAATGGTTAAAATTGAAATTTTTTCCCCCCAATAATGTAGAATACAGTGTCAGACAGGTATGGTATAATTGATTTTTTTAAAATTGGCCCTTGAGGCATAGTATATACACAAATTAGGAGATCCCTGATTCTATGAAGTTACAGATTCTGTCTGCAAAGATTTCATCTGAGGCCTCTGGGTGCATTTTTAAGTCAATAAATGATAAATAAAAATGAACATGCAAAGCCAGACAGTCTTTAAATCTGTAAGACATAATTTTCTTAAATAGCAAGGCGTTGCTTGTTAGTTTTTAAAAGGAGAAAACTGAGATGTAGACAGCAAAAATCGAGTAATATTAAACTTTTTATATTATTTATTTATCTACTGCCAAATCAAAAGAATGTTTAGATATGCTTAAGCAAACATATATATTAAACAGTCAATGCTAGGTTCAGTTCTATAAAATAAAAAATAAAATATAAACAACCCGAAAGTTCCTTATAAGGAACCATAATTTTTGTGCTCTTGTTTAGGCTTTTAAAGCTTTACAAAGAAGGTACAGGTCTGTGAAGACTCTTATTCACGTTTTCTGTTTTCCAGCCTTGCCAAGCACATCCCAAGTATAGCTGTGTTTATGAATGTCGAGTCAGGCCATCTCTAAGCCACTGCAGGCCAAGAATCTCTAAGGTTGTTTTTCTTTCTCATCCAGCATAGAAAGTAATGATTATCAGACTCAAATTGCTTCACATGGGCTCTCTGCTGAGCATGCACACCAAAGGCAGTACTGTCTCAATGTATCACGTTATAGTCTTATTTTAGACAACTAGCATACACTGAGGAAAGAGAATTTTGTAAAGTAACCCAGAAACTCTAGAAAGCCGAGAGTCAACAAATGTACCTTTGAGTTATTTGAACAGAAGGAAGCAGCTCCCCAGACTGCCCTCTCTCACATGACCTGGATGTCTGTGTTAGCTTTTTACTGCCAGTCTTAACAACAACAACAAAAACCACTAGGGTTCACCTCCCATGAGATTGTCTAATTACGGTCAGCTAGTTAAGTGAAATACAAGACTCTTTTCTGCCAGTTCAAATACAATACCGTTTGAGCATTTTCAAAACTAAAAAGGAGCAAAAATAGAATAGAATAACTGTATACTGGTGTGGAGAAAATATGTGCCTTTTCCTTTTTGGAAAATCTCTGCATGATAAATCAATGTAGAGTTCTGATGTTCTGTAAACTACAGGAATGTAAAAATTCGGGTTTACTGAGCCAAGGTTATAGAAAACAACTGAATAGTGAATTGCTAGTGGTTGCCGTCCATGTAAAATAATTTCAAAGGACACATACAAGAGTAAACATCTTCAAATATGAGTAGACTTCTATTTACTTAATCTCAGTATTAGCCATAACAATCTCCATGAGAGCATTTACAAAAGGAACTTTAAATGCTTAGATGACTTCTTTTAGAAGGGACACAGAGTTTTATTATTCCCATTTACCAGTCTCATATTCCCCTTTGCCAACTGACTGGGCATTTCTGGCATCTCTGTGCTCACCATATAAAGCTAGCAGATGGCAGAACTGAGATCCTGCCTGATATATGCCCTCCAGCAAGGGAAGGAAAAAAATCTTGTCTGTCAAGATACATTGCCATATACAGTGATATAACTTACTTATTAGGCATCCTTTTAGCCAGTGGTCATTGTCCAGGTATGGTTGGAAAACAGTTTTGCACAAGGCCGTGTCTTATTTTCTGTTGCTGAATACTGGAAAGGAAATAAAGCTTAATGAAAGAGAAATGGATCTTTTGTGAAAATAAATGTTCCTTAAAGATACTTATTCAACTACTTTGTTTAAGCCAACAAATAATAGCTAGCCACTGCACCCACTCCCTTCAGCTCCTATCATTTGAATATAAGATCAATCAATAGTCCCCTTAATTTTTCCATTGTAGGAAGAGCCTGGAATGAACGAAGAGGTGATATGCAACAAAGTCAAGCAGGCCTTAATATTAATCCATATTTGTGGTGATTCCCGGAATCATATTTCCTTAGAGACCAAAATAAATTTAGCTATAGCACAAAACCCTCAGTTTCCACATGAAAAATGCAATGACCACATTTCTGAGAGATAAACCAAGATATAAAATTGAAAGCAAAGTTCATTCTAACAAGTACAAGAATATTTTTGTGGCAGTCCTACTATCCAATAATCTGGTTTCATTCATTATTTTATTCTATAAATATCTGACATTCTCTACAGTTATTATTTATTGAGCATTTCTAATATTCTAGGCATTGTTCTAGGTCTGTTTGTATACATCGTCTCATTCAATTTCCATAATAATTCTATGACATGGATATAATTATTTCATTTTAACAGAGGAGAAAACTGAGGCACTAAGGTTATCTAACTTACCTAAATTCATGTTGCTAGGAAACGGAAATTAAAGGAACTAAGATTTGAAAATAGGTTTATCTGACATTAATTTTGACTTTCCACTACAGCCCACTGTTTCTGTCCTCTCAAAAGCCTGGGCTAAACAGGGAAGAGCTTCTACTCTCAAGGAATTTACAATTTAGCAAATGTTGGGTACATTTAATTATCATGTTAAAAAAATTTGTATACAATATCTATATTTTTAGATTTGATCTCAGACTCTCCATTGTGTCACCATATCCAGTATTTTAGTAACTTAGACTAGAAAATATCAATTTTTTTTTTATTTCTCTAAGACTGAGTTGATCAGAACACAGTTTGAGTCAAAAATATTCCCTAGTTAATTCTAAAAATAATGTTTTAAACAGAACGGTCACTAAAAAGTTTTTAGGGATGATGATAATTATTACCAAAGCAAACCGTTACAACACTGTAACTTTTATTAGTGAATTTTGTATAAATGTGTTTGTGTAAATATTAACTGTCTAGTGCTGGGTACAACTATAATTTGGAAAAAATAAAACCACAACATATAATGTTCTAATTCAGCCAAAACACAAACAAGGGGTAATATATTTACAAACTGTATGCATAACTCGATAAATTACTGATATTTTCATCATGAAAAAGATTTTTTTTAATCACAGAACAGAAATTTGCTATTAAAAACGATAAAATAGAGAAAGAAAAACATTGAGGAACAATGTTTATTTGGAAGGAGTTTGTAACTGTTGGACATTCTCTCTTGTAGACTGTTGACAGACCGAAGGACTGGTATAAGACAATGTTTAAGCAAATTCACATGGTGCACAAGCCGGGTATGTACGTTGTTCTGTGTTCTGATCAGGTCCTACTGGGTTGAAGGATGTATATGTAAACTCTCCTTTAGTACAGTTTTGGTTCATGCAAAATGACAAGACCCTAGCAAACCCCATGGCCCTCACTCTTTTCAATCTCCCTACTTATATCACCCCTCAAATCACAGACACCGTGCTCCTGCCGCACTCAGATCTGCCAAGAAGCCTTTGATAAGATGACCTGAAGGAGTGCCAGGTGCTCTGGTCTCTTCCCTTCGTCCTTTCTGATCCACAGTCTAAACCTGCGTGGCACGTCGTCTGCTTAGACAGATTCATTAATCCTCTGTCCACACATGTCTGCTCCTTAGCGATAAAGACAGTGAGCATAGATAGGTAGGTCTCACTGAATTGACAAGAGATATTTAAAGCATTTACTAAAGGAAATTCATGATCCAAAAGAAAAGGCTACCTGGGGAGCGAGGTAAAGTTTCCGGTCTTGTATACTATGAAGAGGGCAGCCGAGAGAATGTGTTACAAACAAGAAAGATCAAATCTCTGAGGCCTAGCAAAAAAACAATATGTGGATTTTTTTAAAAACGGTGTTATGACCCAGGCAAAATACATCGGTTGTCTAGCAAATTTCTGTTGTTTCTCTGAAGTTCTGCTGTCTTGTTATGCTATGGTAACCAAATATGTATTACCATAATATTTATGTTTCGTTTTCTAGATGATGACACAGACATGTATAATACTCCTTATACATATAATGCAGGTAGGACGGGTTTCCTTGCTCGCAATGAATATTTTAGGCCCTGCAATGCTTGGAAAAAGTTCGCAGTCACTTTTTTTTTTTTTTTACCACTGTTTGAGTGCATGTCTTCAGTTTACACAATCAGAAGAATGCTTTTTTCTTCTTTTCTCACAGCATGCATAACAAAAAGATTGATCTTTTTCATGGAGATGAGAACTAATACTGTTTTAACTCATTCATTCTTACTGTTGGTTTATTTTGGGCCCTAGGAATGTTTAACCGAAGTGTGAAGGCCAGCCTGAAAGAATGTACTGTAACAACTGGAAGGGAGGGAAGGGGGAGGGGGCATACAAAATAAGATAAAGATCTCTTTTTATCAGTGGAGAGAGTGATTACTATTGCGTAAGATCTTTCAGATACCCTTCACAAAAACAAGTCAAGCAAAGTATTTTGTGACCTTGTCTATGCTTTTGCTCCAAAATGCAACCATTCATTCAAGAAGTTTTTTAAAGTCCCGCTTTGTCTGGACACTTTTCTGACTCACAGTTGCCAATGGTCATGACGGAATGACTTCAGTTCCAGGCACTTTTACTTGTATTCGAGTGCATTGTTATCTTGTGAACTGGTTGCAGGCCGGAGTGACGAACCCCTAGAAAATGTTTCTTGGCATCGTCATCACTTTCTCCAAAATGTCACATCAGGGGATCCCACACAGGGCTTCCTATCCCAGCTCAGCTTTAGACACAGCATCTGTTTTCCTTTCTTTAGAGTAGGCTCTGAGGATCAGTCTCACCTTCCCTTAAGTAGCTGCACCCTCACTAGGGGTCCCCTTGCCAGCCTGGCCTCAGAACTACAGAGGTTCTCCCCTCCCCTCAGGCGATTCCTGATGGACACCTGAATACCACCACACAGGCCCTTTAATTTTTACGGGTTCTGCTACTAGGCTCCAAAGACAAAGAGATGGAAAACAAAACAAAACAAAACAAAACAAAACAAAACAAAACAAAACGAACCGAGTAGGACAGGCTTAGCAAGTGACAAGACCTCTGGTTTTCTGTCCTCGTTCTGCCAGATGATAGATAGCAGGAGGCCCACTAAGATGTTTCTTCAATTTTTACTCCTGGCCACAGGTACTCCAGACTCACCTCTTGTGTTTAGCTTGTAAAATAAAAAATTCAACTGAGTAAAATTTAAAGATCTCATTCACTTTATTCAACAATTCATGAATTAGGCAACATCCAGTATAGAAATGAGCTGCGGAGAGCTGTACAAAATGAAAGACTTTAATGGCAAAAGAGAGCAAGAACAAGGAAGTTATATATTAGGCAAAAAAGCAGACCGGTTATTGCAAGGTCACTTTCCTTTAGGAGTTGGCTGAGGTCTATCAGGCGGATGACCTAACTAGTGCTGATCAGGCCATTCCTGATTGACTGGTTTTAGACTCTATTTCTGGGAGAGGCCTAACTGTAGTTAAGTTTGGCGACATGGGGCTTAGCATGAGCAGCTCCATTGGGGGCCTTTGTCCTGTTTTTAACAAGCCCGAAGTCTGACCGTTAAACAGTAAGGCAAAACAGAAAGTGCAGACATTGTTTCTTTTTATTTGTCATGGTAATTTGCATGGAACTTCAGGAGAAGCAAATGAGTGAAAATAGACTTAGCTCAAAAGACTGAGATTGCAGGAAATTCAGAATTTTTGTAATTATTTTTAATATTGAAATTTTGCATTCATTAGTAATTAGGAAATTGAACAGTAGTTATGTACAAACCTGTAGAGCCCTTCGAGAGTTTTACCATTTAATCAGTAGACAAAGTGATTACAACTAGTCTCCCTTTCTACTAACTCTGCATCCTGCTTTTTCTGCCTTTTTTCTGTGTGCCATCTCTGCTACCCTTTTCCTCTAACCTCTCAAACCAATCCTTCGGAATTCACTCATCGGTTTCATAATATCTTCTGACCAATCTATCATCTTCTAAGATCCTTTAATCCCTAGTATATGTTTTCTACATTTGGCCTTTATTGTGTTACCAATTATTTTCATAGTTCTGTTGTGTCTTATATCCCAGATACTCTCTAAGCTTATTAAGAGTTTCTGTTTCCTTAAGTCTTGAACAGCACATGTAAAATTTTCTCAATATTTTATTTCATTGCAATTAACATGTCCATTACAACATGTAAATCAGAAGTTTTAAAGTAATAGAAGGTATTCAGAAAGAGTTCTATTAAATACTTTTAATCTACCTCTGAAATTTTAACTGTCATTAGTTTATGTTATCCAGGGGGATATTTGCTGAGTACCTGTAAGTTATTCCTAGTACCAATCTGAATTATTACTAATTCCAGAATAATTAATGAAGATTTACTGTAATCAATGCTTATGTATAGAATACAGTAATAACACATTAATATAGTAATGCATATTAATAAATTAATAAAATCATACTGCCCAATGCATGCATTATGATATGCTTATTGATTATAAATTTGATAAAATCACTGGATATTTTATGGGGTACAAATAATTTATAAAGCACTTTTAAAATGTTATTTGCTCCTGTTTTGTTGTGTTGTGTTTGTCTTTCATGATAGGCCTGTACAACTCACCCTACAGTGCTCAGTCACATCCTGCTGCAAAGACCCAGACCTACAGACCCCTCTCCAAAAGTCACTCGGACAATGGCACAGATGTCATTAAGGATGCCTCCTCCCCTGTCCCTCCCCCACATGTTCCTCCTCCAGTCCCACCACTTCGACCAAGAGATCGGTCTTCAACAGAAAAGTAAGTCATTTCCCCACCCCACCCCCTCGCAAATGGCTTATATTTACCTTAGTATGAAAATAAGACCCCATGACATTCAGTAGAAGAACTGGTGCTTACCTTACTGAGATGGTATACGTATAATCTTATCAGTCTTATATATACAATCTTGTTAGTCAATACATGTACCATATTGACTTCCTCTGTTGAGATTGTAGTAAACTCTTTCGCAAGTTTGGTTCATAATACAGTGACCTAAGTTAGACCTGATATAACCTGTGCACAATCTCTACTTTTTGATCAATAAATGCATATAAGAAGACAAAAAGAAATAATTAACACGTACTCCCTTCGGCACAGCAGGTCAGAGACTATGCAGTTAATTTTCAGTTTCCTCAGATTTGAAATGTTAGGTCTATTAATAATTTAAAAGTTCCTTCTGATATGCAAAAATATCTTTTTAAGAGTAGGAAGTTTATTCATAAAAAATAAATAAGACATTAGCTAATAAGTGTCTATCTGTGACTCATTTCCACTAGCTTTTTGAGCTGATATTAATTTTCATTTCCCCACTAAAATATTTTTATGGAAACCATTCCCACAAAAATAAAAATTTATAAATACACTTTTATTGTGTCATTTTAAAATTAAGGTTATGACTAATAATCCTACTTACAGGTAACCTTTATTGAGAGTTTGCTATGAGCTGAGCATTAGGCGAGCATTAGTACAGGCCTATCATGAAAAGCTGATATTAATTTTCATTTCCCCACTAAAATATTTTTATGGAAACCATTCCTACAAAAATAAAAATTTATAAATACACTTTTATTGTGTCATTTTAAAATTAAGATTATGACTAATAATCCTACTTACAGGTAACCTTTATTGAGAGTTTGCTATGAGCTGAGCATTAGGCGAGCATTAGTACAGGCCTATCGTGAAAAACAAACACAACACAACAAAACAGGAGCAAATAACATCATTTAATTCTGAGAACAACCCAATGGGATATGTTTTATTTGAAACCCCTTTAAGAGAGAAAGAAATTGTGACTCAGAAAATTAAAGTAACTTGCTCAGCTCATTTAGCTAGTATGCCTAAGCCAGGATTCAAACTCAGCTCTGACTGATGTTGTAGCTCATGCTATACTGGCAATTAATTAATAAGGGTATAAGAATTATTCCACATTAATGCTGTTTATTAAGCATTCATCTTCATACCCATCTCAAAAATATTATATTCAACACCTCATTGTACCATTAAGAGTAACCTATGATCACATAGCATATAAGATACCACGAAAATTGATACACAGCATACTTGAAGAAATTCTCATTTTAATAACAATCGCCTCATGATTATATGTTTAGAAGTGTGATGTCTTAAATGTGAGAAATACTTGTTTAAATACAAAATGGTATCTCTGCCATAAAAAAGAACTAAATTAACTCAAATGTAAATGTATTATTTGCCCTATTTGTTCAGTAAAAATAAATCTCATTAAAAAATATACTAATCGCTTAAAAATGTCTAGATAGCTTTCATATATATTGTCTCATGTCATGCTCATAAAACCTCTGCTGAATATTGCTTATCAATGTACTAGAAAGCCAGCACTTGCCTCTCATTCTCCTGTCCCTCAGAGCACTTCTATTTCTAATATGCCATGAAGTCAAAATTCCATCCCATTCCACGGGCCAGAATTCTCCCACATATAGTCAGAAAATCCTTCTTCTTCAAAAGGGATCCTCCTCGAGGAAGCCTTCTTTAGCCCCAGCTACTTAAAGAGCTTTACTTTCCAAATCCCTGTCTTTGAGGGCCTCTTGAAGGATATTAGTTCAGGGAGAAAAATTTGATTCCAAGATCTCCCATGCAATGGGATAGATGCCCGACTCTTGTTTTTCAAAGATGACACCAAAGGAGGATCCCCCGTCCCCACAGCCTGCTCCTATGGATGGCAACCCAAGCGATACCTTTGTACTTTTCACAAAGTATGATGCCATTTACAAGATAAACAAGATCAAACACGACGTGTACATTACTCCTTGTCACTTTGAATTAAGGATGCCAGGTCACAGAGCACTGGGATAAACTCACATGACTTAATGGAGCGTATCCACCACTTTCTCTAAACACGAACATATTCAGCTGCCAAAGTGTACAGCCCGAAGGTTTATGAGCAGATCACTGGCTGTGTATGTACAAACCCCTTGTGTGAGTGTTCGAACCAGCAAGAAGAAAGTCACTGTATGCCGGGGAAAAACAGAGGAAAACATAATGTAAAATAAAAGAAACAGCTCTCCTTAAATCATTTATGTAAAATAAAACATAAATGTGGTATTTTGGGCAGATTAACTTTTAATCCTGAGAGACTTAAAAAAAAAATCTATACTAAAACTTTGAAAACAGCGAGTAGTGATATACAACTGCTTTAAGCATAGAGAATTATTTTCATGTGTAATTTGTTGGTTATTTCTAGGCATGACTGGGATCCTCCAGACAGAAAAGTGGACACAAGAAAATTTCGTTCTGAGCCAAGAAGTATTTTTGAATATGAACCTGGAAAGTCATCAATTCTGCAGCATGAAAGACCAGTAAGCACTTGTCATTAAACAGAACGCCAGTTCTCTAGACTTCCTGGGTTCCCAAATAAACCTGAATTTCACATGATTTAGCAATTTTTGTCACAAAGGTAATTTATTTATCTGACAATATTTAGAAATCATGTTTATTTTGTATCATGATTTGTGCATCTTGTCTCAGAATTAAAGATGCACGCTCTAATATATTGTTCTTTCAGACCAAACATAAGACTTATTTGCATATAACTATAGCTGTGCCTAATCATAGCCCTGAGTTTAATTTTAAAAAAAAAAAAAAAACACTCATAAATGAAACACTTAAGTGCTAGTCTACATTGCTAATGAGAAAAATCATTCACTAATCTGTCCGACACAAGTGGACCCAGGCAGTTCCATCCCTTTGGTTCCATATAGGTTTCTTAATATTTCTTTGGCTTAAGGGGAAATTTTTCAAATTTTTTATTTTTTATTTTTTTTATAACAAGCTGTTTTAATGGATTCTTATTAAATCCCTCTCAGGTTACCAAGCCTCAAGCTTCCTGATTGATTGTCAATCTAATGGATCAAGATTATGTTTAACGTTACAGTATTTTTTCCAATTATTTACTTTAATCATATGCAAACAAAAAGATATGTAAATTGAAAAATAACCATTTGCTTCCCCAAGGCGCAATTTAACAAATCCGTTCTTCCTTGGCCCTCTTTGTTTTTATGTCCCGGTCCTCCTTTCTGAGTCTTGTTTTCCCTCCTTGATCAGTGCCCTCAGCATCTCTTTGAAACTATAATTCCTCTGCATCCTTATCAAAAATCTGCTTCTAGAGAAACAATTGGTGTCATTTGCAATTTACTCTCGGTCTTGTCTTAACAGAATTTTAGGTGTCAGTGAAATAAGAAAAAGAGTTTTCTTTGTTAGTTCCTTTAAGAGCATCCAAGAAACCACATTATCATACATGCAAGGCCGGCCCTGAAATTTGATTAGAAACCCTCACCTCACCACACCCAACATGAGAGTCCTTGATTCAGTTTTTTAAACCCTGTATTTATGGTTATGTTCTTGAGAAACATGTTCAAAAACCTTATAATCGCATAATTCGTATATGATATTTATCTAAGCCTTCTTTGCCTTTCTTCGAATAACTCATATCTTTTAGAGTAACAGAACTTCAACAGAAAAACTGAAAGAAAAAAAAGGAACATCACTGATTTGCAGGCTCTGTTGCAAACTTATAACCCATTTACCAAGTTATATGGTTGAATATCATGAGACTTTGAAATTTTTAGTACGAGAATCGAGTGAACCACGATGTCACCATTGCGTAAAATTGAAAATAGCAAAATAATTGTGCAAAAATAATGAGTCTCAGATTTAAATGTAAATAACAAAACTTTAATGATCATTCTAAAAATTTATGATCCTCTTAGGATAATGAATGTTGTAATTGTATTGGAATGCTTTGGTAGCTGTGATGTCAGGAAACAGGATTGATTTTAGAAGCTTTCCCATCAGGACATTTCTGTTATTTACTCATTCAACAAAATTTATTGAGCACCATCTATGGCCAGGCATTGTATTAGGTGCTAGGGACGATAGTGAACGGGACATATTCTCTGCCTCGAGGAACTTTGAGTCTATCATTTAATGGACATGCAGGGCTAGACTTGCATTTGCGTGAAGTGGACCACCTCCTTTATGGTTAAAACATTGACACACCTAACTAATCCTCCTTTTGCCCCTTCAAGAGTTCGTTCATAAGCCCTGTCATTGTGACTGACATTATTAACCCACATTATTCATGTCTTTGGGATAAAGCTTTAGAGGCTTCTAGTTTAAAAACAGCAATAATAATAATAGCAATAACAGTAGTTATAAATCTTTATTGAGCACTTACTATGTGCCAGGCTCTATAATTGGTAATTTATGCCTTATTCTTATGTAATGATTCCAACAACCCTATGAAGGAGATATATGGCATTCCCATTTTGCAGATGAAGAGACTGAAGCACACATTCAGTGGTTTTGCTCAGGATCACATAGCTGATCGGTGTTGGAGCTGGGTGTTGGAGCTAGGCATTGAGCCCAAGCAGACCCATGCCTAGTGCATTTAATCACCACTATACTGCCACGCCACCAGGATTAGCTGAGTAGAAAACACATTTAGCTAGTAGTCATCATCACCTTAGTTAGTTTATTTGATTATTTTTGAAGTATAAGTTAGTTTGCTTACCTGCTAATTTATAATATATTAGTGTTCTTGATTTATTTAACCAGAAACCTGGACCCTGAGTAATTAAGACACAAGACCAGTATGTTTAACTAGTTCTAAGAAGAGTTAAAAGAACTGGAGTATGGGTATTGCTAGAGATCCAGGTACAGATGAGTGTCTGCAGCCACAGGAAAGGAGCAGTGGAAGGGATCTAAATACTTGGAAGGAAACGAGAATGGATATCTTATTAAGAATCAAAACTTTTATCCTTTCTAAACAATTTTGCTGAGGACCAGTATTATGTAAAATGATTTGAGCTAGTCCTCTGCATCATTTTGGCCAGGCTTTTTATTATAGGACTAGGTGATTATCTTCTTGTTGTTGTCAACCTTGAATTCATTCTGGTTGCCACAGTGAGTGGGTGAAGTTGGTGAGACTAAATCCTTCCCTGTTCTGTAGCTAAATCTCTGAAGTCTATACATTTCTAGTGACAAAAAGCACAGTGTGTCTCTGTCAAAGTACCCACGAGGGATTTGACTCACCGCCATTAGTAACTATAGTTCACTAATTCCATGATTCCCTGGGGCAGAGGAAGTCGAGGGTGCAGTATTGTTTGAATAAAAATCCTTCCCCAGACTCTGGCCAAAAGGATCTCTTTCCTCCTTAGAAAACAATGGAATACGTGTTTATGTTCTTTAACATGAAAGTAAAAGTGAATGCAATTTTTTAAAATGCATAGATATTCATTTGACTATAAGTTGAGAAATGTTGATTAAATGGTCTTTATTCTTGATCTAGAAAAGTAACTTGCAGTCACCAGGAATTTATCTTTAACTGACATGAACCACAATTTATTCTATGAGACACTCATACAAACTCTCTACTGGGATAATAATTAATAGAAATTTTACATTCATCTGGATTGTATAAGATTATAGTGAGTCACATTAAAATAAAATAAATTTAAATAAAGCATGTATTTAGGACCCCTCTATGCTTGATAAAATAGAAAATAGTATGAAGATGGTACCTTCCTCAGTAATAATTAAACCAGCGCATAATGATAAAAGCAAAAAGAAACAATCGTTGAAAACACTGCAGAGTTAAAATGCAATTTAAACTCTTAGTGAACTTAAGCTCATCATTGAAGACTGTCTCTCAAGGCATAAGCTATAAAATTTTGAATTTCATCTGATGATTTGAACCATAAAAGATTACTCCAACTAACAATATATGTGGCATTTATTATGGAACCTCGACAAATATAAAACATAGTAGCCAATGCCGTGAAAGCTTAAACATTTAATTAGCATAAATTTTAAAGAACCAAATCATATTGACACTTCTTTTTTCTAGAACAACATATAGAAATTACATTCCTGCAATGAGAATACTGAGAACAGAATTTTTATAACCTGAAAAACAATAAAATGTTTTAAAACTGTAGAAAACATAAAAACTTTAAAAATTGTTTGCACATTGGTTGCCTTTAAATAAGAATCATGTGTGATTTTTAGTTTTAAATTTTCTTAAGCATTTTCTCTTGCACTGATGACACATTAGTGTTAAGCCAAGTTTTTTTGGTTTTTCAAAATGAGAAGAGATCAAAAAAGGTTAGAAAGATGGTCAAGAGTATCTCTGCTCTTTTATTGTCTTTTATGAGCAAATAGAGTAAAGCATAATCATGCTTCCTAAATGAGTTTCTGAGTGTTACTATTTGTGTTATACAACTCAAAGGAACTTTCAAATTACACATCCAAAGTGCTGAGTTAGTGGGATTATGAGTATTCATACATGTCTGTTGACTGACCATCTGTGTGCATATCGCTGACTATTGTGAGGCCTCTGTGTACCTTAGCAGTGGATCTAGGTTGCTACATAATACATTTAATTGTTGCATGACTAAATAGGTCAGCCACAGCAAAGAGGAAATTCTAGTTCTGCCACTTACAGTTTCTTTACCATAAAGTCTCTGCTCAAGCGTGTACCTTTCATTACATTCCAAAATTATAGACAATTATCAATTATCATTGTTTTGGGCGTTTTCTCTGCTATTTTCAACTGGCATGGATTCTAGACAGCTGCCCATTGCGACTATAAGTTGAATTTTTATTCTATTTTAACCTACAAAATCATAATTCATGGAAAATTGCCATTCTAAGATATAGAACAGGATGATATTCTGCTCCCTTTTCCATATTCTATAATATATTTCTATAAATCAGGATTTAGTATATCTTTTTGTTATATAATTTCTTAAGGTAGATATCAAAGTAAACTTGCAACCACTGGTAAATATAGTTAGTTTAGTAAATTTGCTGCCCTCTGCTGTTCAAAATGTTTTTTAAATAAATTTGTTTCCTAAGAAATTTTTGTCTCCCCTTGGCAAAACAAAATACCATACTTGAAAGTAGAGATTATAAAATCAAGAATTAATAATATTTTAAGTATATAACATTAGCAACAATGAGATTTTTAAAAAGCCAAAGATTACTTTTGCTGTGGAAGAAGTAACAGGCCTCTATAGACAGAATAAAATTTACTGAAAAATTCTCTCTAATGTCACCCTAAAAATGAGCTCCAGCCGAACTATTCCGTGAAATGGTTATACACTATAGACATTATTTAAATAATTGGGAAAAAAAACGATATTTCAGTAATATCAAAGTCTCAATTAGTACATTTGCACTCCTGAATCAAATGTAACTTGGATCAAGTTTTAAATTAAAAGGAAAATGGTAAATTAGTTACCTGAATATTTTCTATTAATTTCACATCACTTCTGAAATGTAAATTAAATATAATATT